CCAAATTATAGATCAAATTAAAAACAACCGATCATTTACTGATTTCTTTATAGTGTGACCAGCAAAATAAAGTAATAATGTTTCTATTTTCAAATCATTATAAACGTGACAAAAACTTAGAAATCACATAATAAATAATCTATGGACCATTTGACTAACTAAAGAGACAGATAATAATCAATTCGAAAAGTTTGCGCTAAAGATGAACAGAGACTATACCTAACATTGGAACTTGAAAACACTAACTTATGAAACAAGCAAATCCCTATACACAACTAAAACCAGAACAACAAAAGTTTCAGAAAAAAAGCAATTTCCCATAGACAAGTGTTGGCACAAAGTACAAACTCTATAATATTTATTAATTCAAAATTTATAGCAAATTTTTGTTTGATAAGATTATTTATCACCAAACAATTGTTAGCGTTGGTACACAAGTAAATAATCTATGGGCCATTTGACTAATAGCAAATCATGCACCAATGAATTTTTATTCGAAATTTGTTTTCTTTTTTTTTTGTCAACATTCAGATATACATTCAAATATTAAAAATGATAAATATAGTGTTTTGGTTATATTTTTTTTGTTATTCCCGATAATTTATATGGTAAAATGTTATTTAGAATCATTTTTGTTATCTCTATGGTTTTTAAAATGTTTTAAAGCCAAGATAATGTTTCTTTCAATCAAATGATATTGACTATATCTCTCTTTGGAAAATTTACTCTAAAAAATCCTTCTATTTTCGTGGAATATGACACTTAAGCTTTTTTTTTGGTTCAATTATAAACTATATATCTCTTTGAAAAGATTATGACACTTGGGCTTTTTTTTTTTGTTCAACTACACTTGAGCCTCAAAACAGCTTTACTCAAAATCTCAAAACTACACTTATAACTTTCTAATAAATATATAAACCACTAAAAGAATGAATTTAATAATAGTTTGCCTAGTACCCTAAAAGATAGGTTACCCATGTGGGTGCAGAAGATCAAGGAGCCATGAAACAAAAAGTTAAAAAAAAAAACCTTAAAATAATATTAAACAAATTATGAAAATTTGGGAATAGCCAATGTTGAATACAACAGCTGTCAAATGGGGAA